TGAAGAACAATTGTTTATTTGCAAAATTGTGTAATAGAAACAAATGGGGCACAGCATACAAACAGGGAACCTACTTCCCCGTGAGATGTAATTAAATGGTTTAGAAGGGAATGCGTGGGAATGCTGTGCTGTCACATGCCCTAACAATAAATGCTTACAAAAAGATAGAACATATTGATCTTAAGAAAAAATATATGCTAATACCATACTGAAATATTATGCACTATATCTGCACCTGTTTTTGAAGTCGTGCATTAAATTATGTACAGTATATGTATATATATATATATATATATATATATATATATATTATAGACCAACACAAAGTGGGACATAATTGTGAAGTGGAAGGAAAATGATGAATGGTTTCCAAAAGTGTTTTTTCCAACACTTTGTGTTGGTCTATCACATAAAATTCCAATAAAATACATTTAAGTTTTTGTTTGTAAGATGACGAAATGTAACAAATGTCAAGGTGTATGAATACTTTTTCAAGGCACTGTTTATACTGTATATACACATATATTGTATATGTAGATGGACAACACTAATATACTTCTCATATTCCTTCTGCAACCAGGGAAATTACCTTTCACGGGCCCTGACTTGATAGATCCCAGGAGAAATTTGAATCTCCTTGAGAGTGATTTTACACAAGAATATTCAATGGTTCTTCTGATTTGGTGAGTCAACACCTTTGTCACATACCTGAGCCTGAGATGATGAAGGTGGTCTCTTGCACAGTTCTCATCAGAGGGACTACAGGGGCAAAAGAAAGACACAGGTGCCAAGGTAGAACAGAAAAGAACAAGAAGGTGCTTCTAAGTGCAGTACATCCACATATTTATTGGTGAAAAAGGTTAAAAGCACGTACCGAAGGTGATAAGGCTCAGGCATATGGAAACGTCAATGCAGGGCTCCTGTGACTGTGTTCTGGAGTTCACTGTGCCGGGCTGCACTACCAGGGGGAGCTCAGGTGCAATTCTAAGGTGCCTGGTCCTCGATCTCTGCCTGGCTCAAGCATCTACTATAGTAATAGGTGTGTCCATCTCCCATTTGTTCTGCCAACTTCCCCTCCTATTTATTCGGCTCAGTTTGCAGTGGGTCATGGTCTTGGTGAAGGAGCGATTGCGTATGCTCCAAAACGCATCACTGCCCACTACTGACATAACTTCTAGGATGTGCGTTCCATGCAGATGCCGTGTGTTCCACAGCAGCTCAGGAAGAGTGGCGGCCATCTTATCAAAGACTGTCTACTGCAATTTTTTCCACTACACTTTTTTTGTGAATGAGTAGTGGTACCATATACTCCATACTCATTCACACAGGGGTGCGGGACCTGGGAGCCCCCTTGTTAAAGGGGGCTTCCAGATTCCAATAAGCTCGCAAACCCCCACAACCACAAGCCACGGTTGTGGGGAAGAGGCCCATGTGCCCATCAACATGGGACCAAGGTGTTTTGGGGTAATCCCTCCTACCCTGAAACACTCCTCCATATTGAGGGCATGTGGCCTGGTACAGTTTGGGGGGGTGCTCGTTCACCCCCCCCCCCCCCTTCCTGGCCTGCCAGGCCTGTGCTTGTATCAAGAGTCTGGTAGAAATTTAGGGGGGACCCCATGCTTTTCCTACCATTTTTTGGGGGGAAGGGTTCCCCTTAAACGTCCTACAGACCCACGCACTTTTATTTTTTACAATTTGTTTAATGTAGGGTCCTTCCTAACCTTCCTATCAGACCGAAAGGATCTGGTATGGATTGGAGGGGTGGGCACACTGTTTTTTTTTTTTAATAAAAATGTCATTTAAAAAAAAAAGTCAGTCCTGCTGCAGCAGGTTCTATACATTGTACAGATGTGCAACTTTGCAGGTAGTTTGAGGGGACCCCCGCGGCATGATATTTAAGGTAATGTTTTGGGTTTTTTTTACTTTAAGCAATGAAAAATGGGCACAATTCACTAAAGGTTATGTTGGTCACATGACCAGATATCCTATGCGATACCGAAAATGTCAAGTCACTATGTGGGTATTTACCGAACATAGCAAAAACGCTCAGTAAATAAGGCATTAAAACACCTTAAAGTCAATTCACTATAGGCAATAAATAATTAAATGCATGTGGTAATTCAGTAGTGTTCCAGGCATGCAGTATGTCCTGATATCTGTCAGTAGATGTCATGAGTTTTTAAGAAGTGGGTGGCTGCCGAGTCCTTAACAACCTATGAGTCATCAGCTGTCAGTGGGGTTCCCTGCTGACAGCTAAATTAAAAAAAAAAGAATTGCTGGCAAATAAAAATTTAGCAAAAAAACAGTGTGGGGTCCCCCCCATCCATATCAAGCCCTTCGGGTCTGGTATGGATTTTGAGGGGAATCCCCAAGCCAAAATGTAAAATACAAATCCATACCAGACCCTTATCCAAGCATGCAGCCTGGCAGGTCAGGAAAGGGTAGGGGATGAGCGAGCGCCCCCCTCCTGAGCCATACCAGGACACATGCCCTCAACATGGGGGGATGCTTTGGGGCAGGGGAGACCAAAGCACCTTGTCTCCATGTTGGTGGGGACAAGGGGCTCTTGCCCACAACCCTGGCTTGTACTTGTGGGGGTCTGTGGGTGGGGGGCTTATTGGAATCTGGAAGCCCCCCAGATCTTGACCTCCCCATGAGAATGAGTATGGGGTATATAGTACCACTACTCATTCATAAAAAAAGTGTAGTGTAAAAAAATTACAGTAAACAGTCTTTGACAAATCTTTTATTAAAAAAGCAAACATTTAAAAAATGTCCCTCGATGTAGATCCAATGTCAATCATGATGCCCGCCACTACTGACCAAGCAAGTCCCATAATTGCAGTTCAAGCCAGTGCAGAGCCTCTTAGAGCCCGTTGCAGGAACACCATTCAGCTGCAGCACTGATCTGTTTATTCTGACAGCAGCAGGGTTTGCTTTCAGAATGCATATGTCAGTGCTTGCAGTGATACTGGAGAAGATTTCTCATCCACATTTTAAAAAAAGAACATATTTTTCCAAGCATGGGGCCTGGAGTGGTCAGTAGGTGGATCACTCCTATGCTCCAGCATTTATATTTTTTTCATTTTTTTGGCACAGATTTCAATTTTAAAAAGTTGTAGTTTGTTGAGTTAATATTTTATTGTTATGTGTGTTATTGTTAACCATTGTTGTTTGATTTACATGAACGCCATTCAGCTGCACCACTGATCTGTTTATTCTGACAGCAGCAGGGTGTTGCTCTCAGAATATATGTGTCAATGTTTGCAGTATCACATGGGGAGATTTCTCATCTGCAGTTAAAAAAAAGGAATGTATATGCCCAAGCATGGGGGCCTGGGGTTGTCACTGGGTGGATCACTCCTATATTTTTTTTTCACTCTTTTTGGCAGACATTTCTGCATCCACATCAATTGATGTGAATAGAGGAATCTGTTATGTTTTTCTTCAGCCCACAGGTTGAATGAAAAAAAAGACTATTACTTGTATGCCCAACATTAGAAGTGTTGGTGCAGTATATTATAATGGTGGGCATACCACACAGTTTTTCAAGCAGAGATTTCTTCATGCACATCAAACGAAGGTGCTCTTTTTTGTTCAGAGCAAAGGCTGCAGGCATCATCCTGGTATCATTTTTTTTCAGCCGGTGGTCGACACAATTCTAGTGGCTAATTAGGATTGCTTTTACAAGAAAACATACTTTTTGTTTAGAATTTTCTGTCTTTTTTTCGTTTATATGCAAACAAATAAAAAACCTTGTAGTGGTCAAATACCACCAAAAGAAAGCTCTATTTGTTTTGAAAAAAAAAAAACAATATAAATTTTGTTTGGGTACAGCGTTGCATGACCACACAATTACTAGTTAAAACAGCACAGTGCCAATTAGCAAAAAATGCCCTGGTCAGGAAGGGGGTTAAACCTTCCGGAGCTCAAGTGTTAATATGGGAAATATATAACCTATGTGGGGGATAATACCCAGACGTAGAGGACCATGAGGCATAGTCCCAACTAGGGGCGGACTGACCATTCGAGCACTCGGGTATTGCCCGAGGGCCCGGGGTTAGCAGGGGGGCCCCATGAAATGTCCCTGGTACCTTTTATAGGCTTTTTTGGGTGTGCTTTGAGTGTGGGCAAGGACACAGGGGCCCCATGATCCCATATTGCCCCGGGTCCCCGTGAGTTGTCAGTCCGCCCCTGGTCCCAACACTTCCCAGTTCATAATAAGACATAACACCCAATAAAGCAATTATAAAGTAGATGATGTTAAATGGAGGTATAAGATAGCAAAACCTTGGAAGGGTCTGTGTTATGTTTTAATCAAACGAAGAAGCTGTCAATGACAGCTGTTAAATTATTTTCCAGCCATGTTAAAAAATTTTTCATTTGTAAACATCAGTGCTACTGCAGAACTTTCTGTACATCATAGAGCTATTCACCTTTACAGCCAGGGTTAGGGCACCCCCTGGCATGTTATTTAAAAGAAATTTACCTTTTTAATGCTTCACTTTAAGCATATATAAATTACTGCTCCTGGTCAAATTGATTATTTTAACCCTTTTTTTGCATTGATACATGTTGCCCAGAGCAGTGCCCAACCCCTATACTACATATATGCACTCCTGCAGTAGCTCCATATCATTGTTCAGGACAGCTTTCCTGATAGGTTCAATAGTTGAATGACCATCACCATGTCCACTCGCAGTCTCTAGTAGAAATGCATTTGACAGGATGAAAAAGCAGGAGAGCAATTTTGAGGCATAGCATTGTCACTCTCTAACAGGAAGTGCCTGAACTTGTATGAAAATTGTAGCTGTAGAAAAAAAAAATTTGAATCACATTAACATGTTGAAGATTATAGGAAATGTTTGTGGTTGAACTAACAAATCCCATTATATAATCCCATGATGACGATTTACATAATTTTCAAGGCAGGCAAATATTGTTATTGTTACTCAAGCTTAGGGGCGAACTGACCATTTGGAAACTGCCCGAGGGCCCAGGGTCAGTAGGGGGCCCCATGAGATGCCCCTGGTACCTTTTTCATAGGCTTTTTTGAGTTTGGGCAAGGACACAGGGGCCCCATGATCCCCTATTGCCCGGGGCCCCATGAGTTTTCAGTCCGCCCCTGTACACAATGGATGGCTTTCATTCGTGCACAATCATTTCATTCATGCACAATGAATCAATCACAGCCCATCTGTACCATGTGATTAGCTGAGGCCAATCCTTTCCGTCTCAAGTTAGTCAACCAAGAACAAAGCAGAGATATAAAAATATTTAATTCACTTTTCCAAAAAAAAAAAGAATGTATTAATTTGAGATTTTAATAAAAATATTCAGCATTTGTCTGTTGCTTTTCAGATCACACATTTACTAAATTTGGCTTTAACATAAAATTGGATTAGTAAAAAATAGCAATATATACCTGTCATTTAAAATCAAAGTTTATGGGTCTTTTCTGCACAAATGATGTACTAGAAATAGTATCAGTAATCCTGATTTGATTTTCGAATTTGTGATGGAAAGAGAAAAAAAAAAGGTGGATTGATGCAGAGGCATCATACTCATAAACTTGCTGCTTGTTTAGATGACTTACGTGTAATGAAAATGTATGTTCATGTACTGTATGTTTTATTTAAGATTTGAACACCATTGGGTATCTATCTGACTTTAACCACTTCAATACCAGGCACTTTTACCCTTTTCTTGCCTAGGCCAATTTTCAGCTTTCAGTGTTTTCGCAGTTTGAATGACAATTGTGCGGTCATGCAACACTGTACCCATAACAAATTTGTATCATTTTTTTCACACAAATAGAGATTTCTTTTGGTGGTATTTAATCATCACTGAGTTTTTCATTGTTTGCTAAAAAAACAAAAAAAAACATGAAACTTTTGAAAATAAACCCACATTTTTCTTTGTTTCTGTTATAACATTTTGCAATTACTGTAAATAACATAAGTTTAGGTCAGAGTGTATTCTGCTACATTTCTTTGGTGAACATACCCCAAATTAGTGCATATTATTTAGTCTATAGGAAAGTTGTAGAGTCCACAAACCATGATATCTGACAATCGATCGATCCTGATGTACAGGTGACCCATCTAATTTCTTAAGGCCTGAAAACGCCAGGATAGTACAAATACCCCCCAAATTGCCAATTTTTGGAAAATACACAGTCTAAGGTATTTAGAAGGAGGCATGGTGAGTTGTTTGGAGGTTGTCATTTTTGTTAAAATGTTTTGGAAAATGTAGAAATAAAAAAAAAATTCACAATTTTTGCTTTAACATATTACAATTGAGTACTGTCCGTGATACTTTTTTTATTTGCACTAACATACAATTTTGAGGACAAGCTTTCGGGGTATGTCCCCTTCTTCAAGGTCTAAGCAGTACTATTAAAAATCACAAAGTTTAAGCAGAATGTTAGAATGGATTGAGAGAAAAAAAAAAAAAAAGGGCTACAGATAAGATACATCAAAAGTGAGGGGGGATACAACACTCACACAGAGGGGGTCAAGTTTTAGCTAATAGATAGTCATAAAGCTGTCGGATAATGGTTGAGGAATCCCATGTCCAAATTAAGACCGTTATCTTTAGTGTCAAATAGAATTATCATTCTTAGTTCAAATGTTTTTCTTTCCTGGATGGATTTAAATTTTCCTTTCAGAACTAAAATATTGAGGTCTTCCATATTGTGGCCTGGTTATGAGAAATGGTGTCCTACAGGTGTGCAGAGGTCATCTTCTTTATGTTCCTTGATGGTATGTCTGTGTAAATTCATCCGTGTTTGCAACCTCTGTCCTGTTTCACCAACATAAGATCCTTTGCTGCATTTTCTGCACTGGATAAGGTATACAACATTACTGGAGGTGCAGCTGTATGATCCGGAGATATTGAAGATCCCTTTTGAGTGTCTGACACTTTTTGATGGATTGATTTGGTTGCACAGCTTGCAGCGTTTCTTATTGCAGGGTTTGCTTCCATTATTTGTGGCATCATAATCAGAAGGAAGTTTCCTACTGATTAGTTTATTTCTGAGGTTGGGGGGTTGTCTGAAAGCAGTATTGGGGGTTGCTGGAATATTTCTTTCAGAGTTCCATCCTCTGTTATGATGGGTTGTAAATCTTTGATTATTTTTCTTATCCCTTCTAGTGCCGGGTTGTATGTAGTTACTAGAGGTACACGGTTGTTTGTTTTTTTTTTTCTCTTTGTACTGAAGCAGATTTTCCCTTCGGGTTCTCAAGGCTGTGTTTATGCTGGTGTTGATAGTTTTGTCCTTGTAACCTTTCTTATGGAAGGCGTCTGCTAGTGTCCCAAGATGTTTATCTCTGTCTCTTGGGTCAGAACATACTCGGTGGTATTGATGGCCTGACTGTGTATGATGGCACGTTTCGTGTGTTGGGGGTGGAAGCTAGAACTGTGGAGGTAGTTGCATCTGTCAGTGGGTTTCCTGTATATTGAGGTGTGAAGCGTATCATCCCTGATGTATACTGTGGTGTCTAGGAAGTTGACCTGTGTGTTTGAGTATTCCATTTTTAGTTTGATTGATGGATGAAAAGTGTTCATCAATGAGTAAAATTGTTTTAGATTTTCTTCACCTTCCGTCCATATGATGAAAATATCATCAATATAGCGAAAGTATCTGTATGGTTTTTGTTCCATGCTGTTCAGGAATTGTTCCTCCATGTCAGCCATAAATAAATTTGCATATTGGGGTGCCATTTTACTTCCCATCGCAGTGCCCATACATTGAAGATAGATGTCCTTATTGAAAGCAAAGTAGTTGTGTGTAAGTATGAATTCAATGAGCTGTGTAACATCCTCAGCAGTGTATTTGTTGTTTGGTGAGGATGATAAGGATCTGTGACATGCAGCTAATCCATCCTTGTGAGGGATATTACTATACAGGGATACTACATCCATAGTCACTAGAAGTGTATTAGATTGGTAATTGCTGTATGTTGTTGATCTTGTTCAGAAAGTCAGTTGTGTCTTGCAGGAAACTAGCAGTATTCATGACTAACGGTTTTAAAATTTTTTCTACAAAGCCTGAGATTTGTTCGGTGAGTGTATTCATACCTGTTATGATGGGTCTGCCTGGATTTCCTGGCTTGTGGACTTTGGGCAGCATGTAGAAGTCCCCGATTTCTGGATGATCCGGAATCGCATTTATAAGTTCTGAATGTAGGTGGGCTGGAAGTGTTTTAATGAGACCTTTTAATTGCTTTGTAAAGTCCTGGGTTGGATCATGATCCAGTTTTTTATAGTAGATGGCATTTTCCAGCTGCCTCTGGCCTTCTTGTATGTATTTGTTTGTATCCATCACAACAACTGCTCCCCCTTTGTCCGCTGGTTTGATGGTGATGGCCTGATTGTTGCGCAAATTGTGTATAGCCCTTCGCTCTAGTGGTGAAAGATTGTACAGAATTTTCTTTTGCTGGGTGGATATCAGGGATGTAGCTCGCAATCTGAAGCTATCAATATAGGTGTCCAGTTTGGGGTTGCGTCCTTGTGGAGGTGTGAAGCAGCTGTTCTTTTTCTTTGTGTAGCACTCCATTGTCCTAGGATTCCTTTCATTATTGTGGAAATATTCTTTGAGCCTTAGTCTCCTGAAGAAATCCTCCATATCTGACAATACTTGTAAATGATCCAATTTGGTGGTTGGGCAGAATGTAAGGCCTTTGGAGAGGATAGTTAATTCTGGTTCAGAAAGTTTATGATTTGACAAGTTGATGATTCCAAGTTCCTCTGTAATATCCACATTTTCAGTCGGGTCAGCATTTACACAAGGGATACCTTGGGATTCCCGATTAGATTCCAGGTCACTGATGGTAAGAGGTATAGATGTTGGGTTGCTTTTATGTTTAGGTTGTATCCAAAAGGTCTGCTCTTGGTGCAGCTTCTGAAGTTTTTTTTGTTTCCCATTCATGGCAAGTTTTTGTGTTTGTCTTTGTAAAGTTTCCAATTCATTCTTGATTTGGTTAATGTTGGTAGGGTCCAATGAAGTTAGGGTTTCAAACAAAGACTGCTTCTGTATCCTGATAGTTACCCTTTTTCCATACAGTTTGTGAATGAGGTGATTCCTTAATCTCTCACTGGTGCGTCTGCAAAGTCCTTCTGCATAAGGAGAGTTGATTGTATTTACGCAAGGATTTTTAATCCGCAGGCCTTGTGGTATGAGATATGGTATGAGATATGCTTTATCATATTGTCACCAATGTATTTCATTGATATTTGCAATCATTGTTACTGAATGACACTAATTTAGTCAGTATTTTGTTGTGATTAGCTGTGATTGGCCAAAGCTCATCACATGATACAGATGGGCTGTGATTGGCCCTGTCTGTACCATGTGACTGCTTTGACCAATCACAGCTAACAACACAATTGTATACAATGAATGGCATGACATGAAGCCATCCATTGTATACAATTGACATGTGATCTGCTGTGATTGGTCACAGTGGTCACATGACACTGGCAATGGGCCGGTGTAGTGATATGCCATCAGATGTATCCCGTGGATGCAGCCGGAGATAGATATCAATGTTGTGCGTCCCTTTGGCCATGTGAGCAGCTCCTTTTGACAGGACATCATATTACGCCCATTCAAAGGGAGGAGTGTCTCGCCCGGCCATCAATTGCTATAGGCCGGGTGGGAAGAAGTTAATATACACTTGTCAAGAGGTGCTTAATATCAATAGAGGATTCATGAAGATGCAATACCATTTATTACAAAGCAATAAAGTGGACTCCCAAGCAACTGTAGCCCTCTTTTTTTGTGGGTGAAGGTTATAAGAAATAGCCCTCCCCAAAGAGGATTGCATTAATATTGTCAGTAAATAAGAGAAACAGAACCTTCTTTAAGTAAAGAGTGAGTCTGATAATAAAGTTGGCTTGCATCCACCCACGACAAGGCATCAATGAATAATTGCGATTCTCTTCCTGGGAAATTAATCAGTAATCTAAACAAAGTAATTGGGAGAAGAAAAACTACTGAAACCATCATATAACATACATGATAAGTAGGTGTTGAGGAGGGGCCTGAACATGGTGCCAGTCGGTGGTGTGTGCTAGGAGCTCCAGCCACCACTAGAAGATGCTAGAGAGAGCAGAGAGATACCTCATGACTGGTGCCATCTGATCCTGGGATTTGTGCTGGAGAGACCCGTGTCTGCTAAGCCTCTCATGCTCGGTTGGAGAGTGGAAACTGCTTGGTGGAG